GTATTTGCCTGGGCTCCTGTTCTTTTATTCTCTTTAAGCTACTACTTTCAAGTCTAGGAAGTTTCCTGTAGCCAAACTCAATATTCTTCAAATTATACAAACAGAACATACCTTGAAGTGAATGAAAGTGATCCTTGCAGTGATGTGCACTACTTAGGCAGTAGTGAAAATAAGGCCTGAAAAAAATTCAGGCCTGTACGGGATTTGAACCCATGACCTCTGCAATACCGGTGCAGCGCTCTACCAACTGAGCTAACAAGCCAACTGGGAGCTGGTCATGATGGTGGTTCTAAATAAACCCGTGAAGTGATGAATAGACGGTTAAGAATATATGAAAGTCATATTATTTTCACTACTGCCTAAGTAGTGCACATCACTGCAAGGATCACTTTCATTCATGTCTTTATCCGCAGTTCAAATATATGACTTTCATATATTCTTAACCTTAACATACCTTGTTCTTCAGATGTTGTCGTAAAGATAACAAGAAACTGGGCATAATATTTCTGCAAAAAAAAAACCCAAGATAACCTAGTAACTTTTGATCAAAAAGTTTTTAAAGGCCAGCATCAAGTGTTGGTATTGGTTTTCTAAAGGGCTTAAGAACCAACTTAAAACAAATACCTACAAACCTTTAACTTACAAAGAGAATCAGAATTAAAATCCTTCCACTGTGGTTTAAGCTCTAAATTCCTAGGGGGAATATGATAATTAGCCCCAAGCTTAAATGCTGTACCCAGCTAGATGTTGACTGACATTTGATGTTGACTGACATTTGATGTTGACTGACATTTGCTTGACATTTGGACACTTGTTCTGTTCATTTGATTGTTGAAGAGTGGGTTTGAGAATTAAGAAAATTATCAACTAGTTTGTAGGGATTTGCTTTAAATTGACCAATAAATAAATAAATTGTCACCACTAAGGAGAATTTGAGTAAACAGGCCACACATAGCAACTTTTACCTGAGTTAGATCTTGGAGGTTCCCGCATGAGTAGATTGAGTCACCGCGTTTGGTCAGGACAATCACACCATCAAGAATGGTGCCAACAAACAGATGTTCTGTGGATGAATAAATGGGAAATGAAACAATTATCAGTATTCACAGTAGCCATGGCTTGGAGTTAAACTATGTTCGGAAGTATTTTCAACACCAATCCAGACTAGATACAATTAGCTTGTACTTACAACATCAGTTGTTTCGCACAACAAGAACTTAAAAGGGAAAAGTTCAACATGCGGCACATATTAATTCTGGGCTTCTCACGCATCACGAATAAATCCTTTGCCATCCTCGTGAAGTGTCTAGTCTAGATTGCTGGTCCTAATAGTACACGGAATGACTGTCTCATATACGATGAACCCATAACTGCAAAACACAGAGTTCCCTAGCTGTAAATCACAAGTAGCTAGTGCACAGCTGACACAACAGTTTGACTACAGTTCCCATTAATACTCTGCTTTGCAGAGAGAGAGAGAGAGAGAGAGGACAGAAAGTTTCTCAAATGCAGGAAAGGTGATTTAGCTCGGAAGCGAGATCTTGTAAGTTGTTTCATCCGCGTTACCAGACCTGTGTATCGTTAAAAGAAAATTGTACACAGCGAACTTCACAAAACAAAATCAAACACATACCTTTTACGAACTCACTCCAGTTCTCCTCTGATTCCATTTGATAACCGCTTCGTTCTTCCCTTAGTTCATCTGAAGCATTATTAAACGCTTAATCTATGTTAATTATTCAGCGAAACAAATATCACCCGGGAAGAAGAAAACAGAAAGTCATGTCTTTAAATATGTCGTTATCGACAGGCACCCTGACACATTGGTTACCAGGCTTTTTCGAACACTTCATTGGCTTACAGAAACTTGTTATTGAGTTCGATCATAAGGATAATAATGACGATGATAATTGCAATAATAGTGATTAAGCATTGAATATCAATATCAAAATGCACTTGAAATCCATGTTAGAATTTTCAGAGAAGAACACCCAGACACACTGAGCGAACAGTGACGAGTCACTCAGAATAGCAGAATACTAGATGGACAACTTTGGATTCTCTCCTAGACTCCCTTCACGTTTTAAGGCTTCTCACATTATAGAAGACACCATGCTCAGACGTTTGACTACTGTCTTAGTAGCTGTTAGAGCAATAAAAGATGTCACAGACACAGGCTGAGGAAATCGATGTAAACTACCTTCACCTAGAATCACTTTTTATTGCATAGATGTAGAAGAACTTCATCACACATTTAATTAAGTGGCTTTTAAAATATGACTCCTTTGTAAAATAATCGCTGCATCCAAACAGAAAAGAGACAGCTGACAAGTTATAACAATAATAATAATTACAATGATACATCTTCAGCTATTTTTTTTTTATAAATAAATTAATCTGTTATCAACTTAGGCAAGCTAGTGTCAATAGAGACTAAATGCTACAGTGAGGCTGTACACCATTTATTGTTATACTTTTTTTTAAAGATCTTTTATTTACAATGTTATTCATCAGTCGAGAAGATAAGTTTGACAAAGCCATCTTCACCCTCCAGGGGCTGAGCACAGAAAGGACAGATGGCCTGAAAGGCATCACATCCATGAGGAATAGGCAATTGTTGCCAAAACCTGCATCAAAAGAAGAAAAAAGAACATCATTTTGCTATCAATTCTCCCTCATGAACGGGATACACTGATGTTATCTGTGAAAAGTTAAAAGTTCCTAAGCATCTGCTGACCTCTTTAACCCCCTAGATCAAAATATCAACTCTTTACCCATCTGTTATACATTTCTCGGAATTTCAGCTCTGAGAATTTGGTGGTCAATCAAGCAAAAGTCCCCTTGCCAATGTTTGTCTCTCTTCTCACCTCTTCCCTGCTTTAGAATATAATGGCATTGCAAGGGGAAAATCCTTTTGGTTTCTCTTTGAGGGATAAGGGTTACATCAACATTTTGGCTGACAAAGTGTCTTGTATAAGAAAGAACTCTGTAACAAAAACTTCCCTTATCAACTTGATAAGTGTGATTGATAAATTTTTGTTGTACATGTTGCGACTTTACAGGCTGTGAACTGGATTTTAAACCACTTTCTTAATCAAATAGCTTAGGAAAAGTCTTAAGGTGGAAGTCTGACCAAGGAAAGATAAATCTAACTCTTTCAGCTGCAACAGAAAAGGACCAATAAAGAATTTCTCCCTAAACTATCAACACATTTTCAGGCAGAGAGAGTGATGAGAATGAAAATAGATATCAACTAGGGGATACTGATCGTGAGTGTGAAAATGTTAAGGTAACTCATTCTAGTAGGACAGGAAGCCTTACCTGACTGTTTCCTCAGAGCAAACATGTCCACATGGCACAAAAGCATGTGTAGCTGCAGGCTCTCCCTGATAGAAAGCCGGTTCTTTTCCAAGAGTTAGCGGCACATAAGAGCTGGCCTGATGAAGTAATGGAAATTATCTAAGTTGTCTAATACTGGCAAGCTTAAATGTAAGTTAGATGCCTGGTTTCAAGAGTTTTCCAGTGGTCAGCCAGCCACCAGATAGAATATTTCCCCCCTCCCACCCCAGGTTGGCAAATCCTCAAAACCCAGCCAAGAGCCAGTATTCCAGGCACCCTTGAAAATGACTACATCAGTGGATGAAAATCATGAGTCTGAGGGTGGGGTAGGGGAACCCTTGCAACAACTACTACAAGCCCTCAGGAATGAAAAATGACAGCCACAAAACTTCTTGAGATCTGGTGCAATATAGTTGCGATGTTCCACAGGAGTCTGCACTGACCAAAAGAGCCCAATAAGTCCCTTTCACTCCCAAGATCTCATAGTTGATTCTTCTTACTGTACCATGCCATACCATTCTTATAAAGTTAGTTTGGAGAAATTGGTTAGGATCAACTACCAGCAATAATCCTTTAATTGATGTTTTCATTTATTCTCATCACTTGTGTGCTTGATACTGTATTGATATTGTAATGAGAAATTCTGACTTGTGAACTCATGGAAGTAAAACGTCAACTGCATTAAAATGTTCTTAAATTTACCCTTCAGAATTCTCCTCTGAATTTCATCATAATTCCATAAAATAATATTTCTTTGGTCTTGTAGTGGAAGTAAGTTCTTCTTCTCCTCTTGGAGTTAAAAGCATAGTGATGTACTATGTTCTCACCTGTAAACAAACTGGACAGGTTCTTTTGTCAGCAAGATTTCTCTCCGGTGAATTCCATGAATGAAGACCATGTACATGCCCACACTTGAGGTACACATATGGCTGTGCATTGATCACACTGCTAGAGGGCTGAAACCAAGGAAATAATACTGGTCAGAGTTACCTAGTAATTGCATTTAACAACAGGAGCCATGTCATTTCCACATGAGGTTTTGAGCCCCACTCATTCCTTTATTTTGCTGCCAGATGCTCACCACTACAGTGAATGAAGGAATTCACCAGCAAGGGAGGCCACACATTTGTTTGTACATAACAAGAGTCTGGCATACTGCTCTGATCAGCAAGAACAAAGTTTCTCCAATAGAGAAGAAATGAGAAAGATGGTTAATTTTTAAGCTTGCAGTTTGAATCTTCACTTAAATTTGTTCACTACTTGTGACATCACATTAACCCTTTACATCCTTTCATCAGTATGATACATTTCCTCTGTAACTGACAGATACTTACTGTAAGTCCCTTAGGATTGGGGTAAGTGTTGCATGTCATAGTACCCACCCCACCCCACTCCCCCCAAAAAATTGCATAAATAAAAATAAATTAAAACAGGAAAACTGCTGCAATGGATATTTAATAACAACCACCTAAGGAAAACTTCAATCTTACCTCAGATTGACTGGGAAATCTTAATGTTGTGAGACCAACAGGACACTGAGGGCGAGAGGCATTTAGGCATTCCCTCATTTTGTCAATTGTTTCCAGGGTCTACAGATTTTAACAAACAAATAAGTTTCAGTTTTTTAATTGTTTTCCTCCAAAGTAAATGTTTATGTCTGTAATTACATGTACTGAGTGGAAACCCCTTAGAAAATCTGCTCCAAAATAGAGTAGTCATAAAACATCTAAAAATTATGAGAAATTTTATTTCAAAGAACTTCTTTGTTAAAGATTATATGGAATGAGTACTAATCAAGTCCTAGATTCAAAACTTATTATTAAGTCCAGCTAGGCTCATGTTAATTGATGGCTCCAAATGAATGAAATATGCAGAGATCAAAATATCCACAGGTAAATATCGTGATACCTCAGTGATGGAACAATCACATTCAGGGAACACCTCCAAGGAAAAAAAAATTTGCTACAGCTGAAAAAATGTTGCTATCTACCCATCATCTGTTAGCTTGATTGAAGGATGTCAACACCTCTATGAAGGCAACTTTTTTTCCCCAATTTTAAGAAGTGTTCCCTAAATGAAGTTATGCTGCAAAAATTGAATACAAGGTCCAGAAATATTGTGAAACAAATGATAGAAAGACATACAGGCATTTCCTTTATAGCTTCAGCGGATCTCCACAGCAAAACAGCTCCACAAAGATCAATCAATGATCCATCAAGTAAAACATTGGACTCATCTTCGACCTAAACAAGTATTGTAAGTGTTATCAACCCTATACACCCTGAGATCAGCATGCATATTCTCCATACTGTTCTACATACATTTCCTAAAGTGCTGACAAGGAGAATTTGTTTAACAATCAAGAGCTTCTTAAGTTAGTGATCATTTCCTTTGATTCTTGTGACCTTAATGTATAATTCAGAGGTGATATTGTGAGGAAAAATAATTAGATGACAGTCTGTCTTTGAAGAGGGGGGAGATGGGTGGGTCATAAAGTGACAATACTACAGACACCTTTTACAATGGAAACTGCAATAAACTCCTGCATGGTGTACACATGTAACCTACATGTAATTAGGTAGCATCACATCAGTCTTTTAATCTTTTGATGCTGATTGGCCAAAACTGATACCACCATCACAATAAACAAAGACCTCTTATTTAGTGCAGCAAACACCTGAAACTTACAGTCTTCCCTTTCTCAGTGGTGGATCGTGTTCTACGAAGTCCATACACATTCCCACATACTGATATTTCACGCCATATTGTGGGCTGGCAAGAAGGACCTCCCTTGGGATTCATGAGCAGAATGCCATTGGTCGTCAGACCATCCATTAAATTTTCTTCATTTTGCCACTTGGGAGCTTTTTCCTTTTGATAAAAATCACAATGTAACAGCTTGGGAAAAAAAAAAACACAACAACAACAAAAACACTTCTCTGCATTTACACTTTGCAAGCAGTTCATTCAAAATCCAGCACATTATAAAAGACTTGCACTCATGGGGCCAAAGCATCCCCTATAAGGAAGGGAAGATCATACAAGAAAAAGGAAGTCAACAGGTAAGCAGCAATTTTTTGTGGGCTTCACTCAAAAAAATCTAAGATCATTATGTTTCATTTTCAGTCAGGAACTAGATCCAGTAAACAAAGTCAAGCCTTAGTGGTAAAAAGGCAAGTCTCCTTTTTTTCATGGAACTTTTTAACTTAAATGCCATAACACAATCTAAATATATTCTGGGAAGAAATAACAAAAATATACAAAGCCCAAATGGAACAAATCAAAACCGAGAAAAAGAAACATTTTCTTTAGTTTGCAAATACATTTTATAAAGAGGTTTGGCAATAGGCCTTGAGTTAAAAATTACATGACTCTTCAACACAGTTTTCTTAGCTTGCATTCATAAAGATAAAAAGTCAGGTAATTCTGTATGATCTTGTATTCTTAGCATCCTAATATAAGAAGTGTATGTAGAATTTAA